GAATGTGTACTTGCTGAAAATCCAATTTAGTTTCACTTAAAATAAATGCATAATAGATAGAAAAGAAAAAGATATACAAGGATATAGAAAATGATAAAAAAAATAACTCTCAATGTGGAGGTTGAAGGGTCTCATGAGATGTTGAGTATTAGACCTGAGATGCACCTACAAATACCAGCGCCAACCCCCTGAGAGATTGGTGGTACTGTGAGCTTATTACTGCCATCATTGAGATGTATAAAAAGATCACTTTACATCCCAGTCCCTGATAATACAGGCGGATCACACCACTGATCATTTGTGATTTCTAATTAGGATTTCTTTTCTTTGCTCTTAGACTAGACTCCGTTCCTGCGATAATCTGCTCTCCCCATAGCAACGTACTGCCGGGCAGTGTACCAAAATCTCAGATCACCAATAATATGCTGCACGGCAAAAACAAAGACCTTGCACACAAAAACAAGAGCCTGCACTGCACACATTCTTTCTGGGGAGTGCAGCTGGGAGAGCTAGCGGTAGAATTCATATTGTAATTTATTTTTATAAAGTACATTCTGTGTTTCACATCCCCCAAAAACGTATTTCTTACCTTTCTGAAATCCTTTTTTGCTCCCTCTCTTCTTCCTTTTTTTTCCTTCCTCATTCCTTCCTTCCTCCCCATCTTCTCTTCCCCCCCCCCTCCCTCACTTCCTCTCTGCCTCTTCTTTGCCTTCCTTCCCTTATAAAAAAAAAACTTGAGCAGAATAAAACTTTGTTATAGGTGCATCCCTAAAATAAAGACATTAAAGAGGAACTCCGGGCAGAATAAAACCTAACCCTTGCAGTGGGGCTACTCCTGCACTGCGAGGGTTAAATGCTCATTTTGGTCTAGGGTCTAAAATACCAAAGATATACTCACCTGAACTTCGGTACCGCCTGGCTGCTAGATCAACGCTTACAAGCGATGATACCTTGGACTCCTGGGTGTCATGGATGTATCACTGGCAGGAGGTGGCCCAATGTGTGCTCAAGGTACTAGATGTCCCGCTGAATGTGTCGTGTCAAGGAGGGATTTCAGTGCAGCGGGGACTGAAAAAGCTAACTTTTAATAAAATAAATCATGATGTTACTGATAATATAACAACATTTTTTTATATATTGTAATGTTAGGGGAATCCAGCAGGATCGCAGGACACAGGCTTTGCAAATAAAGTAAAGTTTATTAACTGAAATAGCTTCACAGCAGCAACATAACAACACAGGTCATCTTCACTGACCAGCTGGCCAACTCAAACAGCAACTCTTCAGTACAACACAAAAGAACAGTCTCACCGACATGAAGATTTCAGAGCTGCAACCGCAGTTTACACAGTCCCAGACTTCCAGGGTAACTTTCCCAGTCTACAGATTTCAAGCAAGATTAATGACATTCAAGCTCACAGCAGTACACAGATCCCCACTCTCCAACCTCCTCCACACTACTCCTCACCTGCTAGCTACCACTTCCTGTCTTTTAAACCCACTCTTCCTCCGGCCCTCCTGGTAGGTGAATTGGCTACTGTCTAAATTGGCTAAACCAAAGAATTTGGTCTGGTGAATTTCACAAAACATTGGTCAAGACAAAGAACACACAGCATTCCCTTTCAACTCGTGGTAACGGTGAACCTACGCCTCAGCCCTACTCAGAGCCGGCGCTACCTTAAAGCAACACAAGCAGCCACCTGAGGGCGATGGTGGGGGGGACCGCCTCTCATACACAGAAGCAGCAGTATGGACGGGGCTCTGAGCTTCGGCTTCTATAGTCTGAGCCCCACACCCTGTTCACTCTGCTGTGTGTGCGCTGTCTCTGGAAGCTGCTGGGAGCCCGCACTGTGCCTGGAGCTGTCACACACCATGACATTAACATATGATGGGTGGGCTGTATTTACATATTACTGAGCTGCGACTCATTCATATGGAATTATCGTGGCTAATTGATATGAAAATCACACCCCCATGGGCTCACAGTATTCTTGAATAGCATGGCACTCCAAGTAATGAAGGAAGTACCGTCCACCATTGCCACTAAGGAAGAAAAAAAAAAGGACATGCGATCAGCCTGAAGACTGCAGGAAAAAGGTATATTTAAGTATGTATATGTACATATATTAGCATTTTAAAAAAATAGTGGTGGGGGGGTAAATACTGTACCTCCGTTACATTGGCGGTCAGTGAGAATACCTCCGTTACATTGGCGGTCAGTGTAAGGCCTCTTAACATTTTATTGCAAGGAATTTTTGCCACCATCAACCCATCAGTAGCCACAATGGATGTCACAGGATTCATCAGGACACATGATTGTTGCTATATATTGTATCTAAAATGTGTTTGTGGTGTAATTGGTCCATTCTACAGTTAATGAATTTGGAGCCAGAGGAATTACAGAGTGATACCGGAAGAGATGTATAAACATAAATTCTGGGAGTGTGCTGATCTCCCTCCAATCGAAGAAGACAGACCCGCTGTGCCTGTCCTGGACCAACACAGGGGACAGCGGAGTGGGGGCGGGCACACTCGGCTGCACCATACAAGCGATCAGGTGGCTGTATAGCCGCCGCATCGTTTGTACATGAAACATCCATCGCCGGCTGTTTTTAAATGGCTGCAGCAGCCGTGATCTTGGTACAATTGCTTCAGGACCGCTGTTTATCTAGGTTAGGCAGTCCTGAAGCAGTTAAACATCAGTTTAAGGTAATTTGTTATCTGCTGTTTAGGTAGGCTTTCTTTAGTGAAGATCTATGAGGGGTTGTCCTTATATTGGGGTACTCTTTGGTAATGGACTTGGGGTGTCGGTGCTTGTGGCTTTACATATAGGGCTTCAATAGATGGTCATTCGTTTCCCAAATGCTGGATAAGTTCAGTGTGAGCTGTAACATGGACATCCTAGTTATGCTTTCTGGAGTGGTGCACTTTGGGATGCCTTTGTATTGGGGTGCTCCACAGTAAACTATTTGGGGTATCATTGCTTTTGGCTTCACCTATTGGTCACTAGTAGCTGATGGTCTTCCTTTTTTCGAAATGCTTCCGAGATAATTGGTTTGACTTGTAACATGGACATCACAGATCTACTATTAGTTTTGGAGTGCTGCTCTATGAGATGTCTATGCAGGGCTAGCGCTACCATAAGGCTGCATAGGCAGCGCCCTGAGGGGGCTGGGGGAGGCGGAAAAATGCACCTTCACCTGTGTAGGCAAAAATCCTTGCACCACCCCAGTCCCTACTGGCAACTATGCAGGCGAGGGGACTGGGTCAGATACCCTGCGAATGAGAGGAATCAGGGGACATTTCTATATGCAGAGGGGGTGAGGTGAGTAGAACTCTGGATGAGTCCTGGGGTTTGAGGATGACCAAGCAGCAGACATCCCCAGCGGTAGATTTCCATCACTTCCTGTTCTGCGGACACAAAGAGCGTAGTTATTTCTTCCCCATTCTATCAAAAACTAGAAAATATTAAGCTGGAGTTGCATCTTAGGTAGATCAATACAGCTGGTGGAAGTCAGTATTCTGCTGTACGTACGGTATACTTATCCAGACAATTTCCAGTTTTCCTTCCCTTCCTGTGGTGCTGCAATGACAGGTCCGCACTCTAGCTTTTTGGCTTAGAAGGTGTTGGTGTTAAGGCTGCCAGCATTGCATAGTGTTTGGCAGTGGATTGGTTCTTCCCTTACATACCCTCGCAAGGGTTGTTCAACATAACATTCGTGCAAGGCTTCAAAACAACACAATAATAGCCTTCTGGCTTCCACTTTAAACGTTGGCATTTCTGACCCACTGGTTCTCTTTGAAGTAATGTCCCACACTTGTACTGGTGGCCCCTCAGGCTTACGGCTCTCCTAGCCTCACTAGTTCTCTCCCAGCCTACCTGGCTGTCTTAGTGTGCTTCCAGCACATTCACCACCTGACTCCACTTTAGATTCTGGGGAAGTCCTCCTGACTCCTGAACACCGTCCGTTCCTATCCCAGTAGGAGCTCGCCTGACTCCTCTCTGACTTCTGGGGGCATTCACCTGAACACAGTCTGTTCCTCTTTCCCAGCAGGAGCTGATTCTCCTGGCCAGCATCCTTTTCTTAATGGCTGTGCACACCTGTGCAATTATCGGGTGCTGGCCTTTGCTAAAGCCTGGACCCAGGACTGGGGATCTCATCTTCCCTCCTGAATCACATTGAAACCTCCCAGTTCCAGGATCCCAAGCATAGTCCTGACAAACCCTTGCTTCCTGACACGTCTTAGCCCATCTGGCTGAGAGTCCCAGGTGATCATAAGACCCAATTCTACAGTGGGATTGCCACACAATACCACAGCAATAACAAAGAGCCTCACTACAAAAAGATCGTCGGAAGAATGCTGAAAGCATTTCAAGCTTTAGGTTGCCTGATGAGTTTGAAAGTGCATTTCCTCCAGTCCCACCTTGACTACTTTTCCTGAAAATTTGGGAGCTCTGAGTGAGGAACACGGTGAACTATTCCACCAAGACATTAAAGAGATGGAAAGGAGATACCAGGGAGAATTGAGCAATGATGGCAGACTACTTTTGGATGCTTCAGAGAGACATTCCAGATGCTACTCACATGCGTAAATGCAGCAAGAGGAGCCTCACAAGGAAGAAGAATCGAGTTTAGTGTGTGTAGGTGAGCTCATTTCAGTTCAAAAAAGGATTTTCATGAAAATATTGTAATAAAACTTTAATTTTATAAATAAAATACATTTCTATTTCCATTTATTTTGAGGTATTGCCTTATTTAACATAGTTACCTCAATTGTCAGGAAACGTGATGTCCTATGACAAAATGGGGGTCATTTTCGGATTCACCGCACCAAAAAAACATAAAGATTACGTGGAATAACCAAAACAGCTCTCGAAAAAAAAAATTTTGCAGCCCTGTGTAATGTGTAGGATAGGGTGGAGGGTTGACAGTTCTCCTCCTCCTCCTCCTTCTCTGCTCTCCCAATCTCAGCAGTGTGCGTAACTCTACACAAGTAGAGCTGATCCCTGTCACATTCCTGTATACATTTCTTCATGAGGCTCTCTGGAACCATGGCAGGCGCTTTAAGGAAGGGATATCATAAACAGTTCAAGTCGCTTTGCCATAGTGCAGGTAAGTAGATTCCTTGAAAACATAGAGGGGGGAATTGATCAAAGCAATTACAAGTGTTTGAACTTGCACGGAATATATTTGCACCAGATTTATGTTGCTAGTGTAATGTTGTTGATAAATGAGGTTTAATAGACTCCAGGAAAGAAGACTTCTAACTCTGGGCAAAAAGCTTAGCTGTAGTATCTTGAAGAAGTGGTCATGGGGACTTCTTAAGTTGTGATTGTTTTCTTAGGTGATGCTTCAGTTTCAGACAGCCGCAGAACAAGTGCAGATGAAAACAGGTGCAAAAAACATGCAGTTGGAAAAGCAGTGCAAGCTCAGGTCAAAACAGGGGCACATGTTGAAAGACAGATTTGCACATTAAAAAAAATGATCTAAGAGGCTAAAACTGTCGCAAGTGCTTTGATAAATTCCCCCCACAGTGATTGGATGGGGGTGTAAATGACTGGCAGATCATTGCTTAAAGTGAACGTCCAGCCCAAACTTTTTTTTACATTTTTGGATAGAGCGGGGAAGGATTAGACACCCTGTTGGGTTTTACTGCTACCAGAGGCTCCTTAGAGCGATTTCCCCTTGTTAAATGCTCTGGAGAACCCTACCTCAATTTTGAAAGCTAAGAAATCTACAATGAGGTTTTTCCTCTTTGCGGCTAGACTGGTCATTGCAGGACACTGGAAGTCCGCCCAGACTCCCCCCATAGCGTGGTTGAATAGTTTAAATTATATTATGCGTATGGAAGAAATGGTCGCTATGGATATTGACCGTACTGAATCTTTCCGACGACTGTGGGGGCCCTGGATTTACTTCCAGGACTCTGCTGTTTTTCCTGAATCACTGACTACTGTTTAATGTGAAAGCTTTTTAATGATATTACTGTCCTTATGCCTTCACATGCTTTTTCCTCGACTCAATATTCACTGGCCATTGTGTACCGATATCTGGTCCCATAATCTATATCCCTTCCTTACCTTTCCCTGATGTCTTTGCTGTATTGTTTCATCCTGTCCCGTCTTGTCCTGCGTCTACAGGTTTGTCCCCCCCCCCTACCCCGTCTATTCTGGTATACTGCATTGTTCTGGTTCATTCTATTATAACCTATCATCTGATACACGCCGCTTAGGCTCCCTTTGATATTGTTATTAGTAATACTCATGACCTTAGCCGAAGCTGAAATGTAACGGGTCCTGTGGACAACATTGCACGTATACCTGTTTGTTTATGCATCGGCTGTATGTTTTACTTTCCCCTAAACTAATAAACTTGATTTGTTCAAATGCTCTGGAGAAAACAGTTTTTACCGGACAGGAAGTGAGGAGAGCTCTTCATCGGCATCACAGACAGAAATAATAAACAAATTCTGGAAGAGAAGGGGAAAACTAGAATGACTGTCCGTGTTGCTCCCAAAAGGTGGCCATACACGTTGTGATTTGTGATCGGGCGATTCATCATTGATTAAAATATTGCACGACGCAACTCATACTGTGTTGATTGAAAATGCGATCTATCAGAAACGATGAATCAAAAATGATCATCTAATGGATCTATATTATGATCAGTTCTGTGAAACACTTGCAGATATTCATTCAATCAATCATAAGCCATTGCCAAAATTCCTCCACTTGCCGGAGTCGAAATTGATCAAGAGCTCACTAAATCAATTGAATGGTCTGTGGCTTATGATCCTTATTCAGGTTAATCATGTTTGCCGCATTCAGATGGGCGATCTGGGGCGGATAGTTTGCTGAATTCGGAGGGGGGCCTCAGGAGGCAGCTGCATTCTGTGCTATGGCTGCATATGAACTGGCAGAAACTCGATGGAAATGCCACGTCTGGATGTCTAGGGTTGATCAGAAGCTCTATTTGCATGTAGTTGCTTGGATGGGAAGTTACATGCGAACGGAGGCAACAGTGGTCATTGATTTGTACAGGGTGCAAATTTGACCGCCACTGCCAACTGCGGTTGTTCGTTTGCACTGTGTGCAGGCAGAGTTTACCTCTGCCGGCAAGAATTACTAGATTCTCCCCACCGGGCACTTCTAGATGGGGACTTAGTCATATCAAACAATGGCCTGAATGACCATATCTATACGTGTGTGGCCACCATATGTGGTAGTCATATAGGGGATCCCACCGCACTCCTGACTGAGGATGCCCCAACTTCCAATGGGGGGGTGCTAAAATGACAGCTGGATCAGATAAACAGAACAGTAAGTCACCAGCACCCCAAACGTTTCTCCAAGCAAAGTTCTTTTTATTCAATGTGTAAAGTTACATCACCAGGTGTAGCAACGTTTCGGAGCGCATTCAGTTCCTTCATCACTTTGTTTTGTCTGATGAAGGAACTGAATGCGTTCCGAAACGTTGCTACACCTGGTGACGTAACTTTACACATGGAATAAAAAGATCTTTGCTTGGAGAAACGTTTGGAGTGCTGGTGACTTATATGGAGAAGTGAACAATCTTGGACAATATAGCTGATTCGGTAAACTTCTCCAATTCAGCTCACTTTCCAGTTCAGCTATGTTGTCCTAGATTGTTCCGTTCTCCTGCCCTCTCCAAACTCTTCACCCTTTTGGGAATAACCCTGTTAGTCTTCTGTTTACTTGGCCACTATAAGGGTTCATGTGGACAGGGGGCCTTATCAAGCACTGCATCTCCTATTTGAATGCATGCAGCTGTGTTTAAATCGAAAACGCAGCATTCGACAAGTAAAGGTGTCATTCGACCTGCTGTTCAAACACATCAAAAAAGGGCATGAAGTGTGCAAGGAAGCAAAATGCAAAGCCAATCAAGCACAGCCTTGAACTGCCATGTGTACTGCTCAGTTAAAGTCAATGAGATTTACCTGACATGTACTTGACACGCACATCAAAGGAATATGACACCTGTCAACATGACCCCTTATGGAGCCCCATAAGGGGTCATGTTGACAGAGCAGTAAAAACCTGGCAGCGGTTTTAACCCTTTCCAAACCTAAAACTAAAAAAAAAAAGGTTTTGCTGAGCATACACTTGTGGTCAATGTGGTCTATTTATAATAAATTCACATATTGTATTCATTCTGTGCAGGTTAACCAGCTGTTGTCAGAATGGGGCAAAAACAAACATTTTCTTAGTGCTTTTCCTCTTCTGGTCGAATGTTCTTCAATAGGTTTATTCATACAGAACAGAGGAAAGGGGGAAATACCTGACTATAGCCACTAGATGGAGGTAGGGGTAAGAGGAGATGGGTTAGTAAGGAGATACAATGGGATCTATTCACTATGCTGCTGAGGGCAGCCACCCTCAGAGGCACCGAGCAGAACAGAAAAAGAGTTAAAAAAAGGTAATAAAAGTAAATAGAAAACGATTGTGCGGAGCTAGCAGTGACAGCTAGCTCCGCCCAATAGTTTCCTATTGTCAGGCGGCTCTGCTGCTGTAAAAAAAAAAAAGTTAAAAAAAAATAAAAAAATCTCCCGGGCGCTCTAGGAGCCTCCCGGCCGCCCAGGAGAGAAACAATGCCGTGTCTTTTTTTTCTTTATTCTGACACGAGCGATGTCAGAATAGAAAAAAAAAATTCTCACATCAAAAAGCATTGGGACATTACTATTGGCTATTTCAATTTGCA